CTTTGTAAAAACACCTTAGACACAACTGGGTAATCCCTAAATCCTGGACTGGTAGGTGTGCCTTGAGGACTGGGTTGGGAAACACTGATCTAGAGGTACAAGGTATGTCAAATTATTTTTTTACATTTTTTAAATTTTTAAGTATATTACCTCAATTTGGAATATTATGTCAGTTCCCTCAGGTATCCAAGGAGATCCCCGGTTTCACCTGCAGACTGGAAACCAAGGCTTCATAAGTGCAATGCATGTGACGATGTGGCGGCAGAAAGAAAACGGCTTTGCATAGCCTGCATGAAACTGGTTGCTGATCCACCAGTAGCTTATCCTGCAACGGCCAATCCAGCTGGTGTGATTTCCATCATCAAACAGACTGTGGCAGAAGGTGCTAAGGAAGCCACTCAGTCTACCAGGAGTTCTAAGCCTACAAGGAGAGAGATCTCTAACAGTGAGAGCTCTATGGAGGACTCCTATGAGAAGAGTAATTTTCCTACTGAATACCCAGAGTCATCTGATGATGAGGAGTTCCCATATTCAGGGGGGTTTGATGAAAGGAAAACTGAATCTCTCATTGAGGCAGTGAGGAAGACTCCGTTCAAGTAACCTCATGCAGCAAGCACTTCCCCTCTATGACACCATAAAAACCTTATTAATGATGAATGAGGTAAATCTGAGAAACCGGTCAGTTTTCAGGGTAAGTGGTCCAAGCTATACCCATTCAAGAAAGCTGACTCTTGGTTCCCAAGGTGGACCCGGCAGTAGTCAGACTGGCCAAGAAGACCACCTTGCCTCTGGATGACTCTGGCTCTTTGAGAGAACCGATGGAGAAAAGGATTGATACTAATCTTTACAAGGCCTACGGCCTACGTGGCAGCAGGAGCTAGTCTGCACCCATCACTTGCCTTAACTTCAGTTTCCAGGGCCCTTCAGCAATGGGCAGAGGATCTGGGAGCTGACATCAAGGATGGAGTGAGTAGATCACGTCTCATCAAAGCTATAGAAGACATTAGCGTTGCGGCAGATTTTTGCTCCAATGGCTCTGTGGATCTGGTACGCTTCATAGCTAGATCCATGGCCCTTAATGTTGCTGGCCGTAGAGCACTCAGGCTTAAGGCCTGGGATGCAGACGCTGCATCCAAGAATAGTGACATGCTTTTTGGACGTCAGCTGCATGTCAGGGTGACATGCTTTTCGGACGTCAGCTGGATGAGTGCATCAAAAAGACTGCGGAAGGCAGTAAAGGCTTATAGCCATGTAACAGGGGCAACAGAAGATCCTCTAATGCTGACAGGAGGTCATTCAGAGACTCAAGGCAATACAGACCTGGAAGACAGTCCTTTTGGAGCCAGCCAGGGAGGGCCAGTCAATTCTCTCATAGAGGTGGTAGGGGCAGAGGGTCATCTGCCTGCCAGAATAAAAGATTCTGACTGCTTCCAGGCTCAGTCTCCAGGAATAGTTGCCAGATTGCTTAATTTCTCAGAGACTGGGAGCCACACCATCAAGGATCTGTGGGTCCAGAAGGTGGTCTCCCAAGGTTAT